AGAGTGTGTCAAAGAAGTAAACAATTAAATACCATTTTCCTGAACAAGGACAGGCTAAAAAATGAATGCAAAGCAGAAGCTTTAAGAAGTCAAAATCAAACAGAGTAAGACAACAAACACAGTACTAAGATTCTGGTTAAAAGGATAAAATATTGTAGTTTTCTGGTAATTTTCTTACACAATAGCTGTGTTGAAATCCTCAAATCCATTATTCAAGCTCTTCACTCTAGTTGTATCAATTATGACAAGCGTTTTATTACCCAACAGATGGAAAACTGGGAAGGGAAAACTGAGACTTTGCCCCAGTGAATAATAAATTCTGGAGAACCAAGAGGAGACCCACTTCAAGAAAGAACATTAATGACCACTTCCTCCAAGCCCCTTCCATGCCCAAGTCAACACAGGGACTTGACTCACACTCCAGAGAATTCCCATCTTCCTTTGCTTCTCTATAAACAATTTTGAAACAGCTACCTTGCCTTACTGCACAACAGATACACTTGGAAATCTGGAATATCATTTTCATTGGACATATAAATAACTTCTCTTTAAGCATTACTTCTTTGGAGTTCTGTGTTTGGCTTCGTGTATCTGATCTCATGATGCCCACAACTTCCTGAACATTTACAAGCAGAACAACTCCTACTGTTAGGACAGGAGTCCAAATGAGGCTTGCTGTCAGTGAATGAGATCTCTCAACTAACGCTGAACATTTATCACAGGGCTGTGACTGCCCACCTAGTTACAATTTTTTCAAGGATGGGAGGTAACTGCCAACATTTCCAGTATTTCCTTTCATCTGCCACTGTTCTCTTCCCAGCAAGTCACTGTTCTAACTCAGGAACAAGACCTTCATGCAATTTACAAGTAATAGCATAAATTAAACCTTACATTTCACCACAGGAAGGGGAAACACAAGGTACAGACAAAAACTAGTCAATAATAAGGTATGTTTTATAGCACCTAGGAACATGCTATTTTCTGTAAGCATGTTAAGTGTGCTACATGTTTCTGAGAACAGTTAAATCAAATCCTCAAACTGAACACCACAGAACATTGTATTTTTTTATTATTCCAGCAAAATCAGAACAGGTTTCTGTTTAAGCATCTAACTGTCAGAACTTCACTCTCCTCTCATCTCAAAAACTTAACTGAGCATTTAGAAGACTTCAAGACGCTGCTATTGAAGTGGAATTTAAGCATTCTCTCTTACAGTGCATTCAGAATTGCACCCATTTACATTTTTCACAGGTTTTTTTATATGAAAAATAGTGAATCCTCATAGATCACCCAGGCTTAGGTGTTTTGATGAGCAACTCAACAACTGAGTCAGATGTCAGGTTTGGATATAAAAAGCATTTATGTAGTCTCAGGAAGGAGGAAGGGGAATAAACATACCTGTGCAATAAAATTACTCAGGCACAACGTAAAACTGATGTTATATACTTTCACTAACAAACTGGAATTACAATACCATTAAAGTGGAACTCTGCTGTTGATTTCCATCACAGGAAAAAGAACTGAAACAATTTCAAAAAGTCTGCTAGTATCTCAATATGTGCATTTTACATACATATGTGTACAGAGAACTTAGAGTATATATTAATAACACAGCCTAACTACAAGCTCTTGCAAACATACAGACAAACAAACCTCCAAAGGCTGTGCATGATAATGATCTGTAGGATCCTTCAGTTCTGCCGCCTCTTTCATCAAACGTTTGACAGCTGAAAAAGTGTAAGACATGAAAAAAAAAAAATTAACACGCATTGCATACAAAGATACTTAAACATTTCTTGAAGAGCTCCTTTCAGCTAACTAATCTTTTTCAGCACATCCTGGCTTCTTCACTGGAGTTAATAATCCAAGACACAATATAAATTACTCACGCTGAATAAACCTTAAATCAGTTATACAAGCACAAAGTTATGAAAAATATGTTGCATGGTCAGAGAGTTTCTCAACACTGGGACCAAAGTAGTTTTACATTATTAATTGCACCAAAGACATGAGGAAAAACATAAGTGTCATTAATGGCGTTTCAGACTTTAAATACAAGATGCACAAGACTAATAACCTCAATATTTTATCACAAAGGACATCATGCACTTTCAAACAACTGCTGAAAAGCTCTATCCTGACACCTCCTGTTGACTATTACATGACTACTCCCTTAACTATTCCCAAGGAGGTCACAGTAAGATTTGAGAGAAACCAACACATCGGTAGTATGAGGAGATTAAGTTTTATACTAGATTTGAAAACACTTATGCCCAGCCAGAAAAATTTACCCAAGGCCTTTGTAATTTGAACATGCTACTGAGTGTGGACACATAGGTACTGTTCTATCCTAAATTCAGGACAGTCATTAGTTACTCTCACCAATCTTCTACTTCAGAACCACCAGCATCATCTGTATTTTCTGCTTCTCCTTTTTCCTTCCCTTTTACTAAGTTGTTACATCACTTGTCCTGCCAGATGCCCTCATGTGCATTACGCATTAATGCCTAATAAAGATCTCAGCCAAATCAAAGAGCAAACTAAACATAGGAACTACAGACAAAAAATTTAAAGATGTTGCCTCATGAATAAGGTTAGCTAGAAAGTTCTTACTCCCTCCTACTTAGTGGAAAAAGTGCAAATACCAGTCACCTCTTCAAGCAACCACATACGAACAGGACCCCTTAATCTCTTCTCCACATTCAGTTCAAACCATGGATGTCCCTCCCACCCATGCAATTATCTAACTATGAAGAAGGAGGAACACTGCCCAAATTCCCTTAAAGCATAAGCGAACCGTAGTTCCTTGATTTACAGTCCCTGGCATCAACAGCTGACTGTAGGCTGTGTAGCATGCTCAGGCTCCCAGGGCTTTACTCACTTTGATGACACTGTGAGGAAAGCTACTCTGACCTTCCCACAGAGAAATTTTGATTTGAATCTACTGTAAAAAGTTCTCTTCCTCCTTCGTGCTTCTTGACAGCTATAAACATCAGCTCAAAGTTTGAGAATTTCACTTCTTACAACCCAAAAAGCAAAAGGACTATGCAGAAATTTGCTGCTGCCAGGGGGAAGTGTCAATTAAACACCCAGCAGAGCCCATGAGGTTATGTCACAGGCAGCAGCATCCAGGCCTGGCTGAAAAACAGTTTGTCTCTCTCACCTGCATTAAGGTTTACCAGTTCATTAGCAAAGAACAATAAGAAAACCAGTCTGGACCAGAAAAGGCTTCAGACCCAGCATTGCTTCACAGCTGACAAGCCTGGCCACTTGCCTTCAGAAGAGTGGTGCACACTGAGATGAGCTGATTCAGGAGTGAACACGCCACAAAGCAAAAGAGTAAAAATAAGAAAACAGAGAACGTATGTCAGAAAGCCTAACAAAGACACAATAGTTGCGTACAAGGCAGACAACTCTGTTACTGAGACTTCCCAGACAAGGGACCAAGGCAGAAAAGAAATACAGTCCCCCTGTATCAGCATCATGTGCAGTTCCCCATGGTAACTGAGGGAAAACCAAAAGCAAAAAAAACTGCTTAAAGCAAAAAAAGTATTTCAAGACCATTCTACAAAAGTTTACTGACATTCAGAGAAGTGTTTGTATCAAACCTAAAACTGGGCACAGGATCTTTGGCAGTGCACATTGGCACTTCGAATCTGTCCCAAAAGAGCGAGCCTTTTTTCTGCTTTAGCTCCAAGGCTGTTCGCTGGGTGCCAAAAGCCAGCAGCTGGCAGGCAGAAACACAGAAACCAAGGGTCTGCACTGAGACGTAACTGAGACAGGTAGGAACAACAAGCAGGTGGACTCCTGCTACGTAGAATGTAAAATGGAAGCAGTTTAAAGCATGTTTTTTAAAATGTTTTTGTATTTAATTAACTGTGATAGTGATATACTGTATGTAGTTTTTTCACAGCATTACTTTATTATCAAGAAGTCAGACTATAGATATTTTAAGAAGCCAGCATGAAATACACTGAAAGAATATGAAATATTACTCCACTCTTGGAGCATCTGTCCTGCTTTTGCTGGGACAAAATCATAGAAGGAATCTTCTGTTCAGAAAAGCCATGTTTCTAAAGTAAGCTGCATTTTTAAGAAGACTGCAGCACCCAATTGGGTGAGAAAAAAGCTGGTAAGACACTTTGTTTTAGTTTGTAGCCAGCCGTGGCATGCAGGTATCCATAGTACTCAAGGACTTTTCAACTGGTTTTTGCTAATGACCCAGATGTCCAAGAATCTGAGGGCAGTGTGGCCAGGACAATTGACACCTAAACTGGCAAATGGGCGTTCCATACAATGTAACATCATACTCGCTATAAACTGGAAAGTCGTTTGGGGACAGCCTCTCTCTTTCTCAATGGTCACCATCCCTGGAGGGTCTCTCCCCCATCCTTCTGCTCCCAAGGCCTACTCTCTCTCTTCTGGGACTATGGTTTAGAGATTTTCCTGCTCTGGGATCGCTAGCCAGGAACGGGTTGGGCATCAGTCAAGGGGTGGTGAGCAATTGCACTGTACATCACTTGTCTGTATATATTATTTCCCATTTTATTTTATTACAATTATTAAATAGTTCTTCTCTCAATCCACAAGTCTTCCTTCCTTTTCCCAACTCTCCTCCTCAAGTTGGGAGCAGTCATCGGGGAACAGAATAACTGGCTATGGTTTAGCCTTGGATACAGCATGAAATATCGTAAAACATATAATTTAGTTTTTGCATACCTTAATTTGCTTATAAGAAATTTTCAGTATTAAGTAACCTAGGATAGCGCAAGAAAAAGAAGCACATGTATACAAAGAAAGGCTGAGAGAGTTGGAGTTGTTCAGCCTGGAGAAGAGAAGGCACCAGGGAGACCTCACTGAGGCCTTTCAATACTTACAAAGGGCTTGTAAGAAAGACAGAAAAAGACTTTTTACCAGGGCCTGTAGCAAAGGACAAGGGGCAGTGGTTTTAAACTGAAAGAGGGTAGGTTGCACATAAGGAAGAAATTCTTCACAACGAGGGTGGTAAGACACCAGAACAGGCTGCCTAGAAGAGCTGTGAATGCCCCATCCCTGGAAGTGTTCAAGGCCAGGTTGGATAAGGCTTTGAGGAATCTGATTTAGTGAAAGGTGTCCCTGCCCATGACAGGGAGGTTGGACTAGATGATCTTTGAAGGTCCCTCCTAACCCAAGCCGTTCTGTGGTTCTATTTCCACACTGCTGAAAAATGCCAACTGACAGGCTGCAAAGAACAGCCTGGACCAATGAAGGTTCATTCTAAGAATGTGTGACCCAGTGAAGAAAGCATTAAATTAAATTGTTTCTTCTTTAAGCATAGCTGTAGTATTCATGAATGCAGTCTCTCCTTTGGCTACTGAAAACCGCCAACGGAAGAAAAAAACGTAATTGACAAAGTCTGTCTGCAATGAGTACAGGACATTCTTATCCAAACTCCATTAAAAAGAGCTTTGATGCAAAATATGGTATTGCAACCCATTTAAAATCACACTGAGTCATCTGAGTAAACGTTTGGCAATGGCAATTCGAAAAATTAGAGCAGTTTGGGCCCATTCAAAATAAAGAACTGCAAATTGTCAATAAAGTCAAGAAGTATCACTAATTCAGCCAAAAAAAAAAAAAAATAAAGACACCCAATTTGTCTAAGACAGGTTTTAGAGATAAAGTAATCAAGGTATTTTTTAATGTGGCATGACTGTCAGGATGAAAAATAACCATGCTTTTACAGGTACACTTGGCAACAATTGATCGTAATGTTCACTGCAATAGAATACTGAGGAAATAAAGTTTCTGGGCTAACACTAGAGAGCAAAGGAGAGTTCCTGCCCTGGCAGGAGGCATGAAAGCTCTCCACTGCTCTGGGGAGGAAAGGAAAGAGCAGGTCAGAGGCTCTGACAATCTGCCTCTTGTATTACACCGAACTTAGTGATTTTTTTTTTCTGAAAAGCACAACGTGGATGTTAAAAATCTGATAATCAAACCACCAGCTTGCTTTAGGATTGAGCAGAATAACATAATTAATGAGCAATGATTGTGCAATGTATGCATGCGTGATGTGAAGATTTATTTCTGTCAAAAAATATGTCCTGGTCAAATCCTACTTCATATTAACATTTACGTTAAGCTATCCTGAAATTTGCGTTCCATGCAACTGCTTCTCTTGGATATATCTTGAAGTCACATTCAAGTACTCCTGCTGTCATGCCCAACTAGACCAGTCTGCACCTCGAAGCCCAGGAAACCCTTCTGTACGCAGAGAATGCAAGTGATCAGTCTTCATAAATGTCAGTATTACTGCTTAAAGATCTGAACATCGGTAGAGTTCTCTTAGTAAAATACTATGCCTTATTTAAAAAAAAAAAATCTGTTATTGTGAAATTGAAAATAGTCTTAAAATAAAGCAATCGTATTTAGCCTTACAGAGCTTTGTTTTGTTAGTAGTCTTCTGTATTCAATAAGGAAGGATTTCAGTTCGTTTTTACATTATCAGTAAACAGTGTATGCTGCAGTCAAATGAGCTGACCAAGGTTATACTAATGTAAACATAACACACAACATTGCAACAGGATTTATTTCAGCATAACCAAGACGCACAACTTTTGCTCACTGGAAGTTCAGAAAATCTGATACAAGTTCCAACTCCCTCCAACACTCAAAACCCAAACACCCGGACACGGTTACAAGCTTCCTGAAGATCTACCACAACTTGTCTACAAGAGGCAAC